TTATTAATATATAAAAATATTGTTTCTGGTCATTTTCCCCTCTAAGTTGATGCAGCCTTCGTTTCATTTTGTGGAAATGAATACAAGAGCTGTAAGTTCTAAAAAATGTTTTTTGTTGTTTTTGTTTACTGGTTTCCATGGGAAATTACATTAGTGAACCATTTAAAACAAGCCCTCACTTTTGCCATAGTGGGTGTAGTTTTATATTTAAATTGCCCTTATAAGTGAAAGTACACTGGGCTAGCAGGATTAAAGGCTTAATTAAAATGCACAAATTGTTTGATATTTATGAACTGCATTGAATTAAGAAAGAAATGTACAGGAGATACTTAAACAATGAAGAGGAAAGTGGTGGGGTTATTTACTGTGAATAAAGTATGTGAACACGTGGTTTTGTTGATTCTTGTGATGCAGAGCGAAGGGCTAACTATGAATTAAATGATAAGCTTCACATCAGCAGAGAGTGAGTAAAAACTGATCTAGAATTTAGCCATGCAGTTTTAAGGAAGAAAATGAACTGAATTCATGGTACACATAGATGGTGATCAAAACACTGACTGCAGATTATATCACAGATATCACATGCCGTATTTGTTCCATTAGTATTGCAAGTGTAAATGGCAAAACAATATCCAGCATACAATAAATGCATTTTCAAGTTTATGTGGGCTCTTATTTGAGATGTGCTTTCAATAGAGCAAATACAGTAAAGATTAAATATAACACCTCTAATATGATGCAAAAAAGAATCAAAATATGTACTTACAGCAGTAATTTTTTTACAAGCTATTTCATTGTGAGATAAAATCGCTAATGTCCCGGCACATGCCTGCACCAGATCTGGATCTTCCATACCACACAACACAGTCAGAAGTTTCACTTTATCGTTCTCTCGTAAATGACTTTCAAAAACCTACAATTCATAAAATACAATATTTCACAAAATCAAAAGAAGTGCTTATTATTATAAAAAGCGTCCAAACTAATTGCAGACAATTTGTCGAGTCATTTATTATATGGCCTGTATCTGTTTAACTATTTGTTCTCCTTGTCTATATGTTAACCCGACTTGACATCTTTGTTGCTATGTCATCATATTGCATTGTGGGATATGTAACAATAGCTGCCATCTTTTTCATCCCATTGCATTGATAAATTCATCAAAATTCATACTAATTTGTACAAAATGATGTAGTTTCTATTACAATACCTACCTCTTCATTTACAATTAAGTTGCACATACATTCAGCGGCAGCTCTGCGAATCATATCATGATCTTCAAAAAGATAATTTTCAATTGCAGGTATGCCCTTCTCCTTTACAATTCTATTTCTGTTAAAAAAGACAATGAGCTATTGTTAGAAGGGAAACCAATAGACCAATCAACAATGTTTGTTACAAAGATAGTGTACAATAGGTGATTTTCCGTTCAACTGCGAGATCTCGCGAGTTGCATGAAAGACGGGCGTCGAACATCTGCTGCAAAAATCGAATGATTTGATTTTGAACTTAAATTTCTTTATTTCGTAGTTCACATCTACCGGCCGATCTTCGACAGTGGAATATTGCTTTTGAATGTCTTTACTTCATCAAAATTGCCTATCATCAAATGTGGACAGCACATTATTAAGCATGGAAATGTCCCCCAAAATACTTTCGCGTTTGTCGAATCCCACGCGATGTTTGACACCACTACGCTATGACCTTTGTTTGTCCTGTTTTTACGTTCGATTTCAGGCATAACGCCTGATTCTCGCAGTGAACGGAAAATGGTCAAATAACTGTTCTACAACTAGAGGGCGCCTTTTCCTACAACAATGACATACATTTAGTATGGCAAGTAAAAAACTGTCAACTATTAAGACCAATGTACAGAAAGCACAAGTTGTTCGTAACCCAAATCGAACAACTCACATTTCATGCGCATTAGTTTTCAACAATCTACAATCTGTAATTCAAGTTTTGTTCACATACCTGACAGAATCACTGACTTGTGCCAAGTTAGTAAGTGCCATCAATGATTCAAAATTCTGTAAACCAGTCTTCTCAACATGAAGTAATTGTATCAATGGCCGTACTACTTCAAGACACTGAGAAAAAACAAAAACACATAACAATAATCATAGTCTCAGAGAGAAAACAAGAAATGCTATTTGTCTAAAAAGAAATAAGAATTGTCTAAGATACGTTGGATCAACATACAATAACACTGAGTATTACTGCATATTCTTGATGACTGGAAGTACATTACTCCCTTTGCTTGTCATGTGTATGGCTGCATTATACACCCTCATCAATACTCACTCTCTGACCTGGGAAGGCAATTTCTGGATTGTTGGTGATAGCTATTTTAGCTAGTGCCTGTGCTGCTTGTGTTTTGCCTTCTTCATTGCCATTGTTAGCTAGCAGTATACAAGCCTTAGCGCCACCTTGTTGAATGATCAAACCACGATCTTTTTCATTTTCCGTTAATGCAAGGAATGTTCTGCAGGAAACAACAAATGTAGTAACATGAGGGAGATGAGGTAAAAAGTGATCAACCCTCTACTGTGGATAAAACAGTCTACTGTGGATAAAGTGGTCAACCCTCTACTGTGGATAAAGTGGTCAACCCTCTACTGTGGATAAAGTGATCTACCCTCTACTGTGGATAAAGTGATCAATTCTCTACTGTGGATAAAGTGGTCAACCCTCTACTGTAGAT